TAATATACCCCCTGATTATACCAGTAGCATAGTTCCTGTTTCTCCTCCGCCATTGATAAAATGGACGAGGAACACAATTACTTCAGCCAGTGTTTCTAATCGTAATCCAGCTCTCGAACAGACTATTCTAACCGCCGGAAAAAGCGAAAGTAATGAAGTACGGTCTAGTACATTGGCTGAAATTGAGGACGTGGTGAACTGGACTTCAAAGTTCAGCGCGTATGAAAAACGGGCATCGCCTGTGAAGCCACCTCTTCAAATTGAAATTCACGTCGTAACTCCAGCGAAAGCGTCATATACTGGTGTTTCTGCTGGAAGTACACCTGAAACATGGAAGCAACCTGATGCATTTGGCATACCAGTTGAACACAGCCGTCCAATCGGACAAAATGCTTACTCTTCTAAGGTTATGGCTCAGAATCAGGATCAAGACAAGCGTTCTAAGTGTAAGACATCAAGGAGGTGTCAGTTTTGCCAAAAACAGTTCAAACAAGTTTCTCACCTCCGCGAGCATAAACGTATTCATACAGGAGATCGACCATTCGAGTGTGATGTATGCGGGATGTCTTTTACTCAGTCAAGCACTCTATGTGTTCATAAACGTACTCATACTGGAAATCGACCATTCAAGTGTAAGACATGTGGCACGTCGTTCACCCAATCGTTCGATTTACGCAGACATGAACGTATCCATTCAGGAGAAAGACCTTTTACGTGCAAGACATGTGGAAAGTCATTCAATCGGTTACACAACCTACGTACCCATGAACGTATACACACAGGAGAACGTCCGTAAAGGTGCGAAGAGTGCGCAAAGGTTTTCCGGTGTGGATCATGTCTTCGTGGTTTTCCGGTGTGGATCATGTCTTCCTTAACACGAGCGTGTTCATAACCTAAAATGAAAACCATACTTGTCGTTTGAAAGTTTTTTACTGACTGTAAAAATGCATTTCTCCTTTTCGTTCTAATAAATTCTACGAACAAGTAGGTGAGAGAGAGAGTGAGTGCATGAGAGTGTATGTGTATGTGTGAGAGAGGGAGTGTGCGTTTTTCTTAGAATTTAGAAAGAGAGAACCATTTTCAGCAGTTTAAAAAAGTCCAGTTTTTTAACGTAGCCACAAATGTGATATGTTATGATTGTGGAGAACCGTAATGTGATGTGGATTATTTTGTTTTGTATTTGTGTTCTACTCGTTGGTCTTGTTCTCATGTATTATGTGGAATTATTAATGAACCTACCAAGCCTAGCGTCACGAGGACTGGTATCGTTTACCAACGGATCCAGTATTGATTGTTCTTAAATCCTCCCGAAACTTCTACTCATACCTGAAGAAGAACGGCATCGAACATTTAAATCCTTTCCACCACGGACAGACTACAACGTCATTCGCTAATGATTGGGGCAGAAAATTCTGAACGGAATAAACTAACTACTAGTACCTTGAGAAAAGGTAAGGAATGATCTTTAGCTAGGGTGGCACTCTTCCAGGTGAAGGATGTGTTGTAAGGTGTAACACCTTTGAATGTTTCTACTGATGCAGGTCATGTATTCACTTTCTACCCTTTACTCGCGTGTTGACAAGCTGATTTGGAAGAAATAGAGAGTGGTTTTTGAACAGTTGCATAACGTAGGAGGCTCCTTGTCACAAGCCAAACAGCAAGTGTTTCTACCTCTCGTTTTGATTCACCATTCCACAAACGTAACGTCGTTACTGTACTATAAGAATACGGTATTATTACTCTTTCATTCTCATGCCAAACAACTAACTCCAGTAAAGCAAGACCAACAACTAGTGACCTGCACCACCGAAGCAGGAACCTAAAACCCACACCAAGGGAAACAAGCCCCCTCTACGCCTACGGATCACGGACTACCGATCCTAGCGTAGAGGCAAATGATACATACTAGTACAAGTAGATGACAAAAACGGTGCCGGTGTTAGGTGACAGCTGCATACGAATGCATGAAAGGGGTCAGACAGTTCATGTATCATGTGAACCGGCAGTTGTAACTGGAACCGACTGAAAGTCAATACATCAATAGCAGTGTTAGTCATACATGAAGTTCAGACGTCACTACAGAAAGTGTAGCAGTGGATACAAAGTGAGTTGCATACGACGGGTGTTGCTTGTCGCCAACGTCGCCTACGGGGGCAACAGCCGAAAAAAGCTCTTGTTCACGTCACTATTACCATGGAAATGGCTGAAAAAGGTCCTACAAACGACTTTCAGCCGGCTTGTTTCAGCCACAGCTTGTACAAGCGGCTGAAAGCCGAAATTCAAAAAATAATTTGAGTGCGCTGGGAGCACACCATGTTTGCAGCTAGTTGACATGATGAACCGATATTGATGTTCATTCTTGTGTCCGTGGAACCGTGCTATCCCTGTGCCTTTGGTTTTGACCGTGAGTCTGTCTATCCAACTACAAACTGTACACTGTATTCAGTTTGATTTGGATTTTGTCCGACGACCCTGGATTTCTGCCGCTGTGCCTCTAGACTGCTGCGTAGATTGTTGGAGCTGTGGTTTGAGGCCAAGACAAGGCACCACACTCACGACCGAATTCATGAAGAAAGCCGGGTACGAAGAAGAGAGTGGATTGCAACTGAGTTGAAGAACGGCAACCGGCGGGGCAGAAAGCTCGACATCAGGAAACACCACCCGAACCATCGCGTCCATGCACACCGAACAAATAAAAAGAGCACGACTTCGCAATTCAGAATCCGGGCTTCCTTTGCTTCTTCATCAAAACTGAACACTAGAACAAGTACTGTTGTTGTAGATCGTGAACGTTCTGCTTTCCGGTTTCTTGCAAACATTGGTGTGTTTCGAGATATTCAAAATTTGGCGGGTAAGAAAAACAAGCCATTCAAGCTTTGCACTCAAGTCTGGTGTGACCGCGTCACAGGGACCACGCAAGCCAGCTGAGCGCCAGCGATAACAAGCCCAAAGTGGCTTGTTTCGGTGTGACCGGGGCCTTAGGAATAGAAGTCATTGATGACCAAACTGAAAAGGCGCGTTGCGTGGCATGACAATGGACATCAGGACATGATAGCCACACTGTGACAACATGCACAACGAGAACGTGTTTTGTCACTCACATAAAAGTTACGGTAAATAGGGAGAAGGACAAGATATTACGACTTATGATTGGTTACTGTCCACAAACGTAACCAGATCATATACAGTCAACGAATGCGACAAAATGGCAAAAAAATGACAAGGAGTATTGAGACATTCAGATTTGAGAAATTTGAAATCCTTTCCACCACGGACAGCCTACAAAGTAATCTGCTAAAGATTGAGAAATAATCTACGTGGAAGTAACAGTTTCGCAATCTGTAACATCGCATGCAACGACACAAACCCACACAATTCAGTAGACACTTTCGATTTTCAAGCTCCGATGATCAGTGGAAATGCGGTTCTTTTTCTTTCCTTTTTTTCTCCATACAATTATTCTCTTCATTTCTGTTAACATCTTTCATCTTGGCAAATTGTGTTTTCTTGTTCATCAAGCCAACATTGCCGCACCTTAGAAGAGTTCCTGGGGCAGCATCGCTTAGCCACGCCAGTATCCCAGAGGATGAGGGCCATCGCCCCCTGACGCTACCAATGAAAATAGTCCAAATAAAAGCGCTGAGAAAGCAGAGAGCTTCGTCCTAAATTGCAAGGCCCATATACTGGCGGATAGTAGAACACCTCTTCGAGCGCTGAGAACATGTCCCCCATCATCCTTTTGAATTTTCTTGAAATAAACAATTTTGAATTTTTCTACCCCGCCATGCTGAATTACAATGTACGTCCAAACTCATACCTGCGGAGGAAGGCTTATCCCTCCGCTACGTCTAGTCAGCAAAAGACCTTTTGCAAAATATGTCAGATGGTTCTAAGCTTAAAGGCCGCCGGAAGGCTATGGTCACGGATACTGGTATCCTCTTAAAACCGATCCAGTGTTCATAATTATTGATAATATCTTCAGAGACGTCTACTGAAACCAGCAGAAGAATAGCAGATATGAGAAAACTGAAATCCTTTCCACCACGGCTAAAGATTGAGAAATAATCTACGTGTAGATAACAGTTTCGCAATCTGTACCTTCGCATGCAACAATTCAAATCCACACAATTCAGTAGACCCTTTCTTCTATCAAACGTTTTCTTTCCCTTCTCTTCAGAATAGTACAGGGAATGTTGATAACAGTTTAATAATTATGAAAAGTATGAATGCCACAGATATCACCACGGAACATGACAACTTGCTCAAGGTTTGAAACTGTGTGTTTCCAGAATCGATTTTCAAGGTCAGATCATCAGTGGAAAATACGGAACTAACGTGATCAAGCGAAAAAGGAAGGGTAAAAATCCAAGTAAGTCACGGTTACAAATGAGGCGCAAGTATTACAAGAATTGAGGCCGAAGATACAGATGGACTGTAAGTGTGAAAAGTGGGCATGAATAGTGCAGCAATAACTAAGAAGAAGGGTGATTGAGGCTGAACATTCTGAAGAGAATGGCCTAACTTGCTCGAGAGCAGGTAATGATGGTGATGATGATGGCGATGCGGACTACAACAGGATATAATCACAGTGGCTTCCAAATCAAATTACATTGCCCTGGGATTATCAGTTTTTACTCTCCGTTCTGAAATTATGCATTTTGAGTGAGTGATAGATCCTTTACTTGTGTCAGAATCACAGTTGAGCAATGAAAAACAGATTGTATTATTGACACCGACAAATAAATGCAGGAGTGATCATTTGTCACACAAACGACAAGATTGTCCTTTGGCAACTAAAATTTTTTCGCGCGACAATGGATGCAAAAGTCCTTGACAGCTGGAGATGGTGACAGCAACTTTCCATATACTTGGAGTTGAGAACAAACGTATAATTGTCACGCATTGCGGGTTGCCAGGATTATGGCAAACCAATTTATATCAACTGAAATGGCATTTTACACACTAGAACACGATATTAGAATGCACAGAGCGAAGCATTTTGCATCCGTGGTTTTATTCTCTGCGCGAAGTGGTTACCAGTAATATTACATGTGTTATGCAAGTTCCCTTCCAGAGTTGCTGCAGTCAAGAGAGAAATGGAAGACTTTGAGGATTTGAAGGCTAACTGTAGTCTGGATTCCTGTGCACTACCACCAATGCCGCCATTGATGAAGTCGGAGAGGAAGAAGCTCGACCAAACTTCTAGAGAGCATGGTCCATCGTCCGTCCCACCGTCTTCGGGGTCAAACATTGGCGAAGCAAACTCAAAGAAAGCGTCGTGTATGAGATCCGCTCCACTGGAAAACAGAAAAGACACGAGTAATATACCCCCTGAGTATACTGGTATCATAATTCCTGTATCTCCTCCGCCATTGATAAAATGGACGAGGAACACAATTTCTTCAGCCAGTATTTCTAATCGTCAGCCAGCTTTGGAACAGACATTTCGAACCGCCGACAAAAGCGAAAGGGATGAAACAGCGTGTAGTACATTGTCTGAAATGGAAGACGTGGTGAACTGGACTTCACCGTTCAGCGCGTATAAGAAATGTGCATCGCCTGTGAAGCCGCCTCTTCAATTTCAAATTGACGTCTTCACTCCAGCCACAGCCCCATATACTGGAGTTTCTGCTGGAAGGACACCTGAAACATGGGAACAACCTGATGCGCTTAGCATGCCAGTCGAACGCAGGCGTCTTATCGGACAACATTCTGACTCTTCTAAGGTTATGGCTCAGAATCAGGATACGTACAGGCGTTCTAAGTGTAAGACATTACAGAGGTGTCAGTTTTGCCAAAAAGAGTTCAAGGACGCTTCTCACCTCCGCGAGCATGAACGTGTTCATACTGGAGATCGACCATTCAAGTGTGATTTATGCGAGAAGTCTTTCACTTGCTCAAGTAGCCTCTGTGTTCATAAACGCACTCATACTGGAGATCGACCATTCAAGTGTGATGTATGCGGGAAGTCTTTCTCTCGGTCAAACACTCTGTGTGTTCATAAACGTACGCATACTGGAGATCAACCATTTAAGTGTGATGTATGCGGGAAGTCTTTCACTCGGTCCTGGAGTCTATGTGTTCATAAACGTACTCATACTGGAGAGAGACCGCACAAGTGTAAGACATGTGGCACATCGTTCACACAATCGTCCCATTTACGCGCACATGAACGTATCCATTCTGCATAAAGGCCTTTTACATTCAAGATATGTGTAAGGTCATTGAGTCGGTTACACATTACGTCACCATGAACGTATACATACAAGAGAACTTCCGTAAAGGTGCGAAGAGGACGCCAACGTTTTCCGGTGTGGATCATGTCTTCCTAAAGACGAGCGTATTCGTAACCAAAAATGAAAAGCATTAATGTCGTTTTAAAGATTTTTGCTATGTGAAAAAAATGCATTTCTCCTTTTCTTTGTAACATATTTTACGAGCAAGTGAATGACAAAGAGGGAAGGAGAGAGAGATATTTGTGCATGAGAGTGTATGGTTGTGTGAGAGAGGAATTGTGTGTGTTTCTTAGAAAGAGAGAACATTTTTGTAGCAGTTTGAAAATGTCCAGTCATTTATACCATTCACACAAGTCTGAACGTAGCCACAAATGTGATACGATATGATAGTTGAGAACCGTAATCTGACGTGGATTATTTTGTTTTGTATTTGTGTTCTATTCAATGGTCTTGTTCCCATATATTATGTGAAATAAATACATCTACCAAGCCTAGGGTCACGAAGAGTGGTGGTATCCTTTTCCAACCGATCCAGTGTTGATAATAATTATTGCTTTTAATTCTCACAAAACTTTCCCTGAAACCTGCAGAAGAACGGAATTCTCGAGAAATTGTAAATCCTTTCCACCACGGATAGCCTAGAACGTCATTCGCTAATGATTGAGGCAGAACATTGCGAAGGCAATAGCCTAACCATTAGTACGCGGAGAGAAGGTAATGATCGTCAGCTAGTCTGGCGCTCTTGCAGGTGAAGAATGTTTTGAGATCCTTTCCACCACGGACAGTCTATAAAGTCATTCGCTAATGATGGAGGCAGAACATTGCGAAGGCAATAGCCTAACTATTAGTACATGGAGAGAAGGTAATGGTCGACAGTTAATCTGGCCTTCTTGCAGGCGAAGAATGTGTTCTAAGTTTACAAGAAATCCTCCTCCTACTACTACTAGTACACTGGCACTGCGTTTGTGGATCCCATTGTATTTGACATCATACTAGAGCCTAGAAGAGTGTCGTGGAGTTCACATAATTATCACAGGGATAAAAATACATTTCTCATGAAATACAATAATAATTGATGATAGCTAGACGATCGTATACGATTGATGCAAAGTCCTTGCAATCCTTGAGGACTATTACGAAGTGGTTGATTACTTTTAGAGCATTCATTCAAGCAACATCAAACAAACGCGATACGCTCTTTGAAAATGGAACAAAAATCACTGAGCATACCCACAGAACAGCAGACCAATCGAAACTAGTAAAAGCTTCCTTACCTCGGTCATTGTCCTGCCATGTAGTTGGACAGCCTTTTGACACGGTGGACAGGGTATCCTTGTGGCGTCGAACGAAAGAGAGTGTCAGTGTATCTGACTCATCAGATTGGAACTGTGCTGAACTTTTCTCGTTCTCCGCTTTCTGATTTCATCCCTCGCTCTGATGAAACCGTTCAAACGTCTTACTGGCAGCAATGGTCAGCCAAACAGGGGATCCTTGTGGCGTCGAACGAAAGAGAGTGTCAGTGTACCTGACTCGTCAGATTTGAGCTGTGCTGAACTTTTCTCGTTCTGCAATTTCTGCTTTTATCCCGCGCACTAATGAAACGTCTTCAGAGAACCTCCTTGGTTACCTCGAGACAGATTACTGTCAGCAACTGCACAGCAGAACTGGCAGCCATGGCTGAAGGGAAGAAAGGAATGCGCTGCCACGAGGCAAGCAAAACTGAAAAAGGTGTTTGTTCTCTTATGGGCACAACACACAGGACAGCGTGACGGGATAAACTGGACTCCTGGACCGTAAATAGGGGACTTGTAGAAAAGGTGTACTCCTTATAGGGGATTTCGCGGCAGGATGAAGCTGATCAAAACTGAGTGGACTCCTGGACTCTGTATAGTGGATTTTGGACCAATGGACTCTATATAGGGTGCTGGACATCATATTGTGCATGGACTCTATACTGAGTCCTACATATATTCACAGTGAATTCCGAAACACATCACCGTGTTCAGGGAGTACATACACCAGTTTTTACTCTTCATTCTGAAAAGGCGAATTGTGAGTGAGTCATATATTCTTTACTTGTGTCAGAATGTCAGTTTAGCTCTGAAGAACAAAGTGTAGTGTTAACAATGACAAAGAAAGGTATGACTTATCATAAATCACATAGAGTGACAAGATACTCCTTTGCCTACTGACATCTGTTTGTGGGAGAATTGATGCAAAAGTCCTTGACAGCTTGAGATGGTGACAAGTTGCCATGTACTTGATGTTGAGAACATACGAATAATTGCCACGTATTGCAAGCTGCCATAAATAGAGTAAACCCATTCCTACCAACTCACAATATTATGGCTTTTGACACACTAAAACACGATATTAGAGTACACAGAGCGAAACATTTTTGCATTCGCAGTTTTGTTCACTGCGTGAAGTTGTTGCGAGTCATATTGACTCTGTGTGCTATTTCCCTTCCAGAGTTGCTGCAGTCCAGAGCGAAATGGAAGACTTTGAGGACTTGAAGTCTGACTGTAGTCTGGATTCCTTTGGACTACCACCAATGCCGCCATTGATGAAGTCAAAGAGGAATAAGCTCGACAAAACTTCTAGAGAGCATGGTCCATCGTCCGTTCAAATATCTTCTGGGTCAAACATTGGCGAAGCAAAGACGGAGAAAGCGTCGTGTATGAGATCCGCTTCACTGGAAAAGAGAGAGGACACGAGCAACATACCCCTGAGTATACCAGTAGCCTAATTCCTGTTTCTCCCCCGCCATTAATAAACTGGACGAGGAACACAATTCACTCAGGCAGCACTTCTAACCGTCAGCCAGCTTACGAACAGATCTTTCAAACAGCCGACGAAAGCGAAAGGGATGAAGCAACTTCTAGTACACCGTCTGAAACGGAAGACATATGGAACTCGACTTCAGTGGTCAGCGGGTATGAGAAACGTGCATCGGCTGTGAGACCATCTGCTCAGTTTGAAATGGACGCCTTAACTCAAGCCACAGCGTCAAATACCGGAGTTTCTGTTGGAAGGCCACATGAAACATTGGAGCAACCTGATGCGTGTGGCATGCCGGTTGGAAGCAGGCCTCCTATCGGACAAAATTCTGACTCTTCAAAGGCTATGGCTCAGAATAAGGATTCGCAAAAGCGTTCTAAATATAAGAGCTCGCAAAGGTGTCAGTTTTGCCCAAAAGAGTTCAAAAAAGCATCTCACCTCCGGGAGCATGAGCGTGTTCACACTGGAGATCGACCATTCAAGTGTGATGTATGCGGTGTGTCTTTCTCTCGGTCAAGCACTCTATATGTTCATAAACGTACTCATACTGGAGAGAGACCGTACAATTGTAAGACATGTGGTGCGTCGTTCACAAAATCCTGTAATTTACGCAGACATGAACGGATCCATTCTGGAGAAAGACCTTCCACGTTCTAGACATGTGTAAGGCCATTCACACCGTCATCGTAGCTACATGACCATGAACGTATACATACAGGAGACCGTCCGTATAGGTGCAGAGAGAGCGCAAAGGTCTTCAGAGCATCATCAAGTGTTCGTGGACACAAGTGTTATCATAACATAAAATTAACTGCCTAAACGTCGTTAGAACGTGTTTTACTATGTGTGAAAATTCCATTCTTCTCTTTGTGCTTATGAATTCTACAAACAAGAGAGAGAGAGTGTGTTTGTCTGTAACAAAGATAGTATACATTCGCAGCAATTTAAGAATATTCCACTCTCTGATCCTATTCTCACGAATATGCTCATAGTCACACACGCGATAGACTATGATAGTCTAGAATCTCAATCTGATGTGAATAATGTAGTTCTGTATTTTAGTTTTGTTCCATTGTCTCGTTCTCATGTATCATATTTGAAGGTAATAGTATTATTCGTGCATAATCTTTGATCTTAGAAGATTTTACTTTATTTAGATCGAAGATATGAGCGAAGGCTTTCTTGACTGAGCAAGTCTGAGAAGACCACAACTTGTAGACACTATGTGAAAGTTGATCACTCTGATTTCGCTCAAAATTTGCAGGCACGTTTCCATGGTCTGTACAAAGCTCTTGAAAAGTTGTCTGATGGGAACTTTGAAACTCGGGCATCGAGCCAATAATAAAAGAAGAAAGGAAAAGGATATATGGAAACGAGTTAAGAGTAACTCTCCATCACTGTAACTAGATACAATAATACAGTCAGAAAGTTCAATAACTAGGCACATAACTGACAGAGTACTGAGACATTCGACGTCCTGACACCTAGCTTTAACACATCTCCGTAGCGCTAACAGACCGCTTTCCAACTTGGAAGGTTCAAGGTTAGGGAAAGACCAAAGACGGGAAGGCAAGCGCAACGAAAAGGAGCACAAGGTACAGTCCCAACGGAACAAAGAATGTCGATTGTTACTGGACGATGACGAGACCAGTAGGCGATTTGGCAAAGCGGTCTAACTACGTAAGATAAGTTAATGAAGGGGAAGCTTAGTGAACACGAATTGTACAAGCCGAAGGTGAAACGCCTACAGTACCCCTCATGCATGACATTGTGATGGACTACCTGACTAAAAAACAAGTTGTTTCACACGACGTACGTTTTGCCGTATGGTTCGTGACGGCTAATCAGGTGTGCAATTTAAAATTCTCCCCTCTTTGGTCTTTCTATAACCTTGAACCTACCAAGTTGGAAGGCTGTCGTTTAGCGCTACGGAGATGTGTTGAACCTAGGTGTCAGGACGTCGAATGTCTCAGTACCCTGTCAGATTTGGGCCTAGTTGTTGCACTTTCTGACTGTGTATAGTATCTAGTTACAGAAGGGAACTTTGATCCGAGAAGATTTTACTGTATTTAGGTCGAAGATATGACGGAAGGCTTTGTTGACTGAGCAACTTCTAAACAATTTGTGCAAGCGGACCACTCCGATTTCGCTCAAATTTTCCCCCACGTCTCCTTGGGGTGTAGATCGACTGCTCAAAGGCGCCTTGGCAGGG